GTTGGGGATGGGAAGTCAGCCCAGTTGGGTTGGCTGACTTCCCATCCCCAGTGAATCGTCAAAATAGCATCGAAACAGCCTTTCTGTTTGGACAGAAAGGAACAGTTGTTTTGACTTGAAATGAAATTCGGTACGAAACACTGTTCCGTCCAACCGTCAAAACTTAAGGCAAAATGGAACGGTGCTGTTTTGCACAGCCCTACTAATTAGTTATGCTGCTGGTACAGCGATCCTTAGCTCCCCATCCCCAGACTTTTGAAACATTTCGACCAGCCTCATTTTGTTTTGAGGCTATTTTGACAGCCTTTGTTTCATTCCCATTTTGCTGTTTCAACCTTGAAATTGGTCGAAATAGGGTCAAAATGAAATGGCCAGCAAAATTTCACACAGCCCTACTAATTAGCTCTGTATCCTGGGCACAGATTGGGGTGGGAAAAGCATTGTGCTGAGAAAAGAAGAAGGATGGGGAAGGGCAGGACATGCAGTCTTACCTGCAAGCCTGGGCTCACTTAGGGGTTGCAGGCTCGCAGTGGAGATCTAGGGCAGAGTTCCTTTGTCAGCCTCACTTGCTCTCTCCTACATCAACAATCTCACATGTGCTGATGATCTGCATGTAGATCCTGCCTTGAAAAGCCTTAATTTGGCTGTGAAAAGGTCAACACAGGAGATGTCCACAGTAGGGTTGGGAGAGGAAACCAGGCTATAAAGTGAACATTGATTCTGGCCAGGCTCAACCCACCTGTCCTGCCTGAGTGAACAGCCTCTGGGTGAATCCCTGCTGAGCACAGACCCCTGCTGTCACTCTAACATCCCCTCTTCATTCCAGCACCTGTGCCTTGGTCAGTGTATGCTTGTGCCCTAGTTGCCCAGCTGTAGCCCTGCAGAACTATCCCCCATGCTAGGGGATGGGAGTTCCTGTTGCACCTACTTCTTGGTATACCCAGCACACCCCTCCTGGAAACAAAGATATGCCAGACAGCTCTACCTGGCTGTAGCAGCAGCACCAGCTTTGGAGTCTCACAGGACCCAAATTGAGAACCACCACTCTGGTTTTAGCAGTTTCAACCTCAAAGTATTTCTTGGTATTATTTCCCCCAATCTGTTAGCTGTTATTTGGGCAAAACTTTCCTGGATGTAATTCCACTGCAGTTGGAGCAACCCAGGACTTACCATGTCACCTCAGACCATTCCAGATTGCTTTATTCCAGTATTTGTGGTTGTTACTAGATAACTTAGAGAATAGTACAAGGGGCCCCATACTGGTTGGTTTTGGCATATATTGCCCACCAGCTTGTAGCTGGCTTATTCCCTGAAGCAAGAGGCATTTTATCCCTTAATAGTACTTATTTTCTGTAAGGCAATGGTGAAACAATATTGCTTTCTCTTTTTCACTTTTGTGGGAAAATCGAAAGCAAACAGTGCTGTATGTGATAGTTTATAATATCTTAAAGCTTAGATTTTCTAAAATACTTTTTGCTGGCTTAATTTTTAATTCAGTGGGCATGTCTACACATTCATTAATGTGCCATAATTACAGTGCATTAAGTATTGCAGGTACCAACTTAAAGTGCCATAATTAGTGCTACTGCACAGATGAATGCTTTTTAAGTGATGTTAATGCACGTTAGACTAAATCTACTGCACATTAGCACAGACTTTGGCCACCATGCTAACGTGCAGAAGATTTATTCTAATGCGCTCAAAGCCTCTCATGTAGACGCGCCCAGTAGGAACAGAATTGGGCCACTATTGAACTCTATTGAAAATTCCACCCTAAAATTACATATTGCCTTTAATTCCAGAGGACTTCAAGATAAATTTAGAATCTAAAGACAGAAAAGACTGCAAACTGTAAAGTCAAATCTTCCTTGAGGTAAATGCAAGTTATGTTTAGATAAAGACTGCAAAATTAAGTTGTCTATATATATTTACATGATGGACCCCTGTTGTCCTGCTCTAAGTAGAAAGCAGCAGAGAACCAGAGAGAGAGGCAGCATTTTCAATGAGAAGGAAGGCTCTAGATCCATTTTTGATTCTGATGCAGACTTTTCAAGTGGCTTAACCTAGGTGTTTCCATTTTCTCAGCTGTAGAATGGGTATTCATCTGCCTCACTTGGGTGTTTTGAGGTTGAATTCTTTCATGTTGGAAGAGAAATTTGAGATGGACACTACAGAAATGCAATATACTGTAATTATTTATTTAATTGACTAAGAAGGCCTACCACAACTCCACTGAATTACAAAGAAAAGATCTGGTTTTGCAAAGACATATTATGGTTCTAGTGTCTTTGATGGCTTTATCCACACACACAAAGCTTAGTAGGTGCATAAGACTGTTTAGGATCAGGGTTGTTGTGGGTGTTTTATATAAAGGATTAGACTGATCTGTTAGAAATAAATCAAACACACTGAAATTCACAGACGCATTGAAATTATTAACATATATTTTGCTAATTGTTGCAAGCAAAATGCAACACTGTAAGACTGGAACAAGAGATTCATAATCAGTTAGGGAAACTAGACTTCTATTAACTAATCTGGATAATAACACTTTGCAGTAATGATAAACCCTAGGGTACCTCAGGATTTTTACTATGAATGTTTTACATTTTTGCCAGACAAAACATTCAACCTAAATCCATGACCAATTCTTATCCTGTGTTGTTATATTCTTGATTTATGCAGTATCAAGCTGCCAACTGCTTTACAAAATTGCATGCATAGAGATCACTCCCCTTCACCAAGTACAATGACAATTTTGAGTTCTGACCCTGCTAGCACTTACTAGTATTCCAAGGAGAACTTCACATGGTATTGAGGTTGGGGGATCAGATGCCTGACACTCATTGTAATGATGACAAGAACACTCTATCATCAAAGAAGATGGACAAATGAGATTACAACACCAGGGGCAAGGCATAATGTCAACACCCAAACTGGAATTTGGGTAGGATGCCAGGTGGATGCCTCTTTTACTAATTATCACTGAGTCATTCATGACCAGAGCCAGTTAGCACCTCAGTTTTGTAACTCCTCCTGTGGATGGCTACCCAACTAACACAGCGCCAGCCTTTCGTTCCTTTTAGTAAAGTAAGTTCGGTGCTTTTGTGATGCAGCAGGTGTGCTCCATCTCGATCTGAACAGGCAGGAAGCTAAAAGCACCTGAAGCTAATAGGTGCATGTAGAAAGCTAGTTGCCTGCTGTAGTTGGGATAGCTGAAAAGCAGGAGGCTGAAATGGGGTGAATAGGTGTAAGTAAGGTGGGTGTGCCTATGCATACCTCAAGGAAAACAGCAGAGAGGCTTATGTGTGGACTTTCTGAGTCAGATCTTCAGGTCTAGAACTAGAAACAATGGCAGAAGAGTGGGCTTGCTGACTTTTCTATGTGGAAGTGCTAGGGCAGTAAAGCTATATAGAAGGCTAGGTACAGGAAAGCAGAACTAGAGTTTGCCAGCTGGCTCCTACTAGTTTGAGAACCTGGAATTGGAGAGGGTGAGGAGCAAAGGGAAGAGTTTATCCACTGATCTCTGTAAACTGAAGAGATGTTGAGGTGACTGTCTACTGACCAGGATGAAGATGAGAAAAGTATCAAGTAGATCATGGAGGAAGCTTGTGTTGGGATGGGCAGGAAAGACCTTAAATGGGAAGAGCTGGAGTGGTTGCCTGACAAACAGGAGTGAGGGAGAATTTTGTGAGTGGCAAAAGATGCTGTAAAATTGGTGATAGCCATGCACTGTTCTTGGTATTTTGGAAAACTGTGTGTATGAGGAAGGATACTAGGCAATGAGATGCCTAATGACTGACCCCAAACCATGCTTCAGTAGCAGCTCCAACTAGAAACTACTTGACACCCCTAAATCCATATCCTTTCAACAGATACAGAAAAAGGTCTACCAAGAGTAAGGCCTTTATTTATAACTCTACGGAGGCTGTAAACTACTTGTTTTCCAGGCCAGCAACAAACAATCCGGAGGTTAAAAGCATGGAACAGATTTCTGCTGTTTCTACTTGCACTCCAGCCAGGATTAAGAACCTAGGAAAAAGTGCAAGCAAAGTGGATATGCATATGCATACCTTTGTACTTGAAAAATAGTTATCTCCTCTGATACAAAGACTGCAGAAGTCCCTTGTCTGGGATGACAATTGTTTCTGCACCATAATCTTCATCTAGGAAATAATTATCAAAAAATAATATACTTAAAATTACGAGTAAAAATCATCTTGCAAATCCTTAAGAATTAGTATCCCTACAGTATATTTTATGTCCTTTCAAACAAACTTACTATGGCTAACTTAACTGAACCAAAAATAGACTTTTTAATACAACTCACTTTCATGACTATGGTAAATTATATTATATCATTTACCATAATAAAACTTCCTTTCCTCCTTTATCCCTTGCTTGCTATGAAATTCCCTTTGTGCAGGAAGTTATTACAAATGCTTTGTATCACTGAAGTCCAACACAAGTCCTGATACAAGACTCCTGTATCCTTTAATATGCACTTAAAAATTGGTTTTATGGCTTGTATACCTTTTAAGTTCCACTTATGTGGGTTTTTTTGCAAAAGGGAAAATTTTACTGAGTACATAATGAATTTACAAGTAAGTGATGTGACACTAAGCACAGAAACATTGTTAATAAGTCATAAAAGGCTAACTAACCTTCAAAAGAGTAGGCCAGTGACTTATAACTGAGAGTACCCTAAGGAAGAAACTGTCTGCTTGCTTAGTTGTCTATACAGTTCCCAATGTAAATGGTGCTGATTGTTTCCCATGCAAACTTGGGGTGTTGTCCTGTAAATTGTTCCACCTCCCACAAGGGACTGTACAGGCTGTTCCCATCTTGTGCTCTGCAACTGTTCATCAGGCATGTAGTAATGTTTTTTTCCAGTAAAGCCAGCCCAGAGAAGGATTCTTGATCTTTATGGTGCTTGTGCAAGAGGAGCAGTGCCACTCGGACCTCCTATAGCTTTACAGAATCTCACAGCTGTCAAGAACCAAAGGGATTACTGGTAGGTTCCAATGATCTGGTCCAGAGGCTTTGAAGGCCTCAGTATGGTTTTTATCCCTAGGGTCCTAGAAAGAGCCCTCAGAAAGATGGGTTTTCTCTAGAAAGATAGATACTCTCCTTTCTGTTGCAGCTGATAGCTGGTTAGTGGCTGACTCCACCCTCTGAGAAATTCTTCCTCACCTGTCAATAGGGTGTAGGGGAAGCACAGTGCCTGTGGGAGGCAGGCAGTTGAAGCCTTGTGTCCCTAGGTGAGTTCTGTTCCTTCCTACTGGTGTGCCTAGAAGAACTGGGAATGACCAAACTGGACTAGCCTCCCTGATCCAACATACTGATAGAGCTGCCCTATCTGCTACTGGTTTCTTAATAGTTTGCAGATGGGTGGCCTGGCTTCACAGAGAGGCCTTCTCTCCTTAGCCAAGCAGCCTTGTGCTTCCCTGACTGTTGGTGTCATGGTCCCAGCACCCCTCTGTATAGTATGATGTATTATTTATTCATACATTCAGATCAATAAATAATTAATACTAATATTTATTTATAGTATGGCCTTGCCTGTGAAGTACAGCTGGGGGAGGAAGCAGCATTCTCAGCACCATGCAAACATAAAATTAGACAGTCCTTGCACTGAATATCTTAAAAGCGTTTGAAGTCCTCAGTTCTGATCCTGTAAAGAGTGACATTGGGATTATGCACAGATTTAAATTTAAATGTATATAAATCTGTACCGGACTGAGGCCTTGCTTGCAACATTCATAGGTCAGAAGGGTTTCCTGGTTCTTAGTGTGTAGGTTAGGGGTGGACAAACTGCAGCCCATGGGCCAGATGTGGCCCACTAGGCCATTCTATCTGGCTTGCGGGGCCCCTAAAAATTTTAGAAAATTAATATTTATCTGCCCCTGGCTGCCTGTCATGTGGCCCTCAATGGCTTGTCAAAACTCAGTAAGCGGCCCTCCGCCTGAAATAATTGCCCGCCCCGGTGTAGGTGAACACCAGGCAAGGAAAACATTGTTTTGCTGATAGTGGGCATCAGAGACATATGGCTAAAATAGCTGTTGGTTTAGTTAAGAACTGTCTGTCAGATTGAATGTTTAGCTGTGTTTTAACACATACTAATTAGGTCGTGTTAACTAACAATGACTGTTAGTTAGACATAACATAGACATGTACTTCTTTTTGTTCAATGTCTTCATCAATGACTTGGGAGATGGCAGAGTGCAACCTCAGCAAGTTTTCAGATGACACAAAGCTGGGGGAAGTAGTAGACATGCTGGAAGGTAGGGTTAGGATTCAGAGACACCTAGACAAATTGGAGAATTAGGCCAAAAGAAATCTCATGAGGTTCAACAAGGACAAGTGCAAAGTCCTGCACTTAGGATGGAACAATCCCATGCACTGCTACAACCTGGGGACTGGCTGGGCAGCAGCTGTACAGAAAAGGACCTGCGGGTTACAGTGGACAATAAACTGAATATATGCCAACAGTGTGCCCTTGTTGTAAATAAGGCTAACAGCATACTGGGCTGCACTGGTAGGTGTGTTGCCAGCAGATCTAGGGAAGTGATTTTCCTCCTCTATTCAGCACTGGTGAGGCCACATCTGGAGTATTGTGTTCAGTTTTGGGGGCCCCTACCACAGAAGGGATGTGGACAAATTGGAGAGAGTCCAGCAGAGGGCAACAAAAATGGTTTGGGGGCTGGGGCACATGACTTCTGAGGGGAGGTTGAAGGAACTGGTCTTATTTAGTCTGGAGAAGAAAAGACTAAGAGGGGATTTAATAGTGGCCTTCAACTATGTGAAGGGCGGTTCCAAAGAGGATGGAGCTAGACTGTTCTCTGTGGTAGCAGATGACCGAACAAGGAGCAATGTTCTCAATTTGCAGCATTGGAAATCTAGGTTAGATATTAGGAAAAACCTCACCAGGAGGGTAGTAAAGTACTGGAACAGGTTACCCAGAGAGGCTGTGGCATCTCCATCCTTGGAGGTTTTTAAGACCTGGCTAATCAAAGCTTAGGCTGGGATGATCTGGTTAGGGAGGTTTCTGCTTTGAGCAGGGGGTTGGACTACATGTGACCTCCTGAGGTCCCTTCCAGCCCTCATTTTCTATGATTCATGTTGGATCCCAGGAGGAAATGTTTGTTGAGTGACCATGTTATTAGCTAATTGGTGCTCTCCTAAACATGTCTAAATCTATATTCACTACCTTATACCTAGGTGTAAGCTGTTTAAGAGTTTTAACCTTTTCATTGCAGATTTATAGCTGAAGACTTGAAGTTTACTACAATATAAACAACAGTTAAAGCAAGACATCTTGCTTGTGTTTTAAAAGATAACTAAACATAGTAACACTTATGTTGGGGAGGCATACTTGTGTTTGTGTATGAAGGGGCATGGGTGTTTATAGGATAGCATCTATTCAACCCCAACTCCAGTTGAACAGATGCAGCTGAAGAGCTTTTACCCTTGGTCAACCATGTTCAGCTACATCTGGCTAACAACCCTTATCGGGTTTACCATATTTAAGTACATCTGCTGTATTTAACAACACCCCTTGTCAGGGACTTCCCTGAGGGCTGCCATGGGCAAAACAAGCAAAAGAGGATGGAGAGAAAAAGTGGTAGATGGATATAAAATCAATGGTAGGCTTCAGGAGTGTTACATACTTCCTGAGGGAGGTGGAGCAGTGGGTGGAAAGCAAAGAGAGGCAAAGGAAGGTGATGAATGTCTTCCTAGGTGCATGTCACCTTAAGTCTGTCTGTCTCTCATAGCTATGTATGTATACACATACATACCCATGCACACAACCATACATATGCATACACACACCCAGACCCATACATATGTTCTCATACACATATATACATACACCCCTCCATACGTGCACACAAACCCATGCACTCCTCACACACAAACACATGTACACATCCCCATACAGCCCCCCTTCCCATACACACATACACCTCCTCAGACCC